TGAGATTCTTTTTTTTACTGGTCCTTGCGAGAATTACTCTCTCCGGTATTAAACTATCATGATCGCGGTTTTTGTTTTTATATTTTTAATCCGAATTTCCTGTTTTCTATCCAAAGAACAATTGTAGAATGTTAGTCGGAAATTTTCAAAAGCACAAAAAATAAAATGCACATATATATCGACCTTAAGAACATATACTATCTAAGTCACCATTCATCTGAACTGGTTCATCTAATTGGTTCAATTCATTTGTAAAATAAACAATAAAGTTAAACTTGTTCTGGCTGGGCCTTTAAATAGTCAAATTGCGAATATGAAGATCTTTTTTGGCCTTGTTTCCGGTGCAACTTCCATCTTAACATTTAAGGTATTAGTATCAATCAATCTTGTGTATAATAGTTCTTTGGATCTATGCTCATCCTGGAAAAATTACAAAATTCATTAAAAAAAAATATTGTCGATCTGCGTCAATTTTAACTATTACTGTATGGAATGCTCCATTAAAAATAAATGTGCCATAGTTATTGGCATAAAACTTTATTTATATGAATTATCTAATAATGATTATGTTTATATAGTTGTACTAATTAACTCTAAATTAATTTTAACAAGAAAATCACATTGGTGATTATTATGAAAAAATTGAAAATTAATTATTAGGTTGTTTCGAGTAAGGTTGTATAGGTTTGAAGATGGATCGTTGTTATTGATGATATCGAGAAATAGGTGGCTAATTAGTCAATCCTGGTGGTAAAAACAGGTTGACAGCCTCTTTTCAAATATACTCACTTCCTTCATGCTGAAAACTATGTTTACAACAATTTAATTACTCTGGTTATTGTTAATGATCCATTAGCTTTTAAGTGAGAAAGTCACTTTTTAATGCGCAAAGATATATATTACATTTATTTATATCAATAATAATTTCAGGTTATCCTATACTTATATATATATACCGAAAAAGAATGATGGTGTAAATGAATATAAAATTTTTTTACCCATGACTGGTAAAAAGAATCTACTCTTTAGTTTGACCTCATTGAAAAAAAGAAAAGCATCAAACTTGGCAATGACAATTACCAAATGATGAGCAAAGAAATGATTACTACCTATTTAAAACATTATATAAAAATTTTAAATTAAATTTTTCTTGTATATATACAAACAAAAAAATGTATAATTGTTTAATAATGACAATTATATAAAAATGTAATAAAATCTAAAAAATGAAAGTTAATTGAATGTCTA